ATTGTAATCTGGGGGGAGGGGGGTAATGGTTGGAGAAGGGGAAGAGTTAATGTATGTCTCTAGGCTTCCAGTAGGACACAGCTCCTGAGCTGAGCATCAAATAGGCGTAGTAAGTGTGAAATACAGTTGACCATAGTATGTCAGTGGGAGGCAACTGCTTATTCAAAAGAAGTGGGGAACATGGTGTAATGGAAACAAACCGTGCAGATGCAGGATTTCTAGTTTGGCTTGAGCACTGACTTTCTGTGTGACCTTACAAAAGTCATGGCCTCCCTAGAGTTCAAGATTCCTCAGGTATAAAATGAGCAGTTTGGATGAAATGTTCTCTAATATTTTCTTCTAGCCATAATTTTCTTTTAGCCTGTGGGTTCTAATGTAAGGGGTAGGAAGTTTTTTTTGTCATTTGCTAACATACCAATTGACACCCAAGTAGCTGAAGGCTCTCTTCTCTTGCTATCTGAGTTCTAAATAAACCAAGAAAATCTTTTTTGGTGTTCTTTGTGTGATGCTGTCAAAGAGATCAGGATGCTGCAGATGAAGGCCTGCTGGCCAGGCTAAAATATACCCACAACCCCTTCCTCGTACTGCTTTGGGGGGTGGAGGACATTCTATGGTTCCGGGACTACGGGGTGGGGAATGGGCTGATTTTGACTAACAAGCTAGCCTTTCCCATGATAAGGGTTTATGGGGGAGGGCAGCCACCAGAGTGTGTGGACCAGAGGAGAAAAGGAGAGGCAAGAAATGACATGTGGCCATAGGACACACTTGTGTGATCAAACTATTCCCAGAAAGCAGGGCAAATGTTTTGTTGTAACTGCTAGGGATTTTTGAGCCTGGAGCAGGTGATCCTTTATTCCTTTCCAAAGTGGCACAATAGATAGAGCACTGGGCCTGGTGTCAGGAAGACCTGAGTTCAAATCTAGCCTTAGACACTTAACTAGCTGTGTCACCCTGGGTAAGTCACTGAACTCTTATCTGCCTCATTCCTCAACTGTAAAATGGAGATAATAATAGCACCTACCTCCCAGAGTTGTGAAGATCAAATGAGAAATATGTGTCAAGAGCTTAGTACAGGGCTGGTACACAGTAAGTGTTTATTTAACAAATGATTGTTGACTTTATGAGCTTGGTGCTTTTCTTGGGTGTAGGAGGTTTATCACAGTTCCTTAAACTTTCCTTTCTTTTTTTTTTTTAAGCCAGCAATCATGATAAAGTCTATTAACTACTGCATCGCCCAAGTTCAATGGAGAGGGACAGCTGGGAGGTATACTGGACAAGACAGATTCTGAAGCTGTAGGATTTTTGCCAGTGATCCATTATTGACTTAGGGTTCTGAGTTGAAAAAAAGGGAATTATTTATTCAATTTTACAATGTCCCAGGACAGAGAGGGAATACATATACAAGGACCCTGACTTTTTACATCAGAAGTTATTAATCTTTTTTGTGTTAATGACCCTCTTGGCAGTTGGGTGAAGCCTCTGGACCCCTTCTCTAATGTTTAAAATGCTTAAAACAAAATCCGTAGGATTATGAAGGAAATCAATTATATCAAACTACAGTTATCAAAATATTTAAAAAACAAGCTCACAGACCTTAAATTGAGAATCCCCACTCTAGTTAATGAATGAATCAGCAGTAGCTAGTGGAGTTATGACTAGCTAAGCTAGTTCTTTTTTATCTTATTTTATTTGTGAGGCAATTAGGGTTACTGTCACTTGCCCAAAGTCATACAGCTAGTGTTATATGACTGAGGCTAGATTTGAACTCAGCTTCTCCTGACTCCAGGGCTGGTGCTCTACCCACTGTACCACCTAGATGCCCTTAAGCTAGTTGTAAGACTTCTTTCCAGGGTGTGTTTTGAAAGGGGAACCCTTTCCAGAGGAGAGGAGTCTAGGGAGTAGCTGGAGCCTTTTACTCCCAAAGGAAGGAGTATCCTGGCTCACCTAAAGGTATTGGGAAAGTAAGAGTAACTGACAATCCTTATTATCATACAAGCATTAGAATAGCCTTTTTTTTGGGGGGGCAGCACAACTCAGCTTTGTCTCTCTTTTGGTCAGGACTTGTGATTTTACGGGTGTAAAGAACTTCCAGTAAGGAAAATCAAGGGGTCTGTCTGCGGCTTATAGCCTGAGAGAGTTGCCTGAGATATAGACAGAAGATTAAGTGAGCTTTCCAAGATCAAATCTCAATGAGAAAATAGAATAATACAATCATTATATCAAGCCTAGGACTTTACAATGTGAGAAACTAAAGTTTAGACTCAAGGTCTGACTTTCTGAAGTCTCATATGGATCATTCACTTTACTAGTTCAAATACCAGTAAAATGGAGAAAACAGAGGCTTTCTGGTATGTAGATGTCATCTCCACTCCTTGAACAATGACTATTTCAGTAAGCAAGGAGTGGCTTTTCTGGGTCCCTTTTAGTCTATACTTTTCAACAAAAGGTATTGTTGAAACTGTGCTGTACAGCAGCCTTCAATCCTCTAGGGGGTGAAAGTGTTCTTCAGTGCATTTTCTTTTACCGTACAATATTATTAAATGAATTAAATTATTAAATTATTAAATGAATGATCATTTTATTTAATGTGTGCTTTGTCCGCCTACCCCAACCCCCACTTTATCTAGAATATTGGGCATCTGAATGAAAAGGCTTTAACCTAGGAAGTTCTAAATACAAAACTCCTCTCCCTTAGTAAGTGAATCCCATTTCAGCATATTTTTTAAAAATCAGTTTGATTTTTTTTAATATTACCACATTTCCCCCCTGTATCCTTCTGGTTCTCCCTTCAAGAGGGCCATCTTGCAAAACAAATAGCATTTTAAAGCCAAAAAAAAAAAGACAGAGGAAAAAAATCAGCATAACTAATCAATATACCGGGAAAAAAGGCTGAAATATGTGCCATGTACAACACCTATAGACCCTCTATCTTTTCAAAGGGATGGTGGTGTGGATGTCTTCTGATATCTCTTCTTTCAAGCCACTGGCATAGAATTTTAACACCTTATTAAATACCGCATAAATAAACAGCAAAATAAATCAGATATATGCCAAAGTTTTCCTAAAGTGGGAAAACAAGATATCTCCAGATCATGGAAGGAATGAATGAAGATAAAACAAAATCATGGATCAGAGGTTAGAGCTGGAAGGGATGTTAGAGGTTATCTCATCTATCCCCTACCCCCTCATTTTACAAATGAGGAAACTGAGGCCTAGAGAACTGAAGGGATTTGCACAAGGTCATGCAGGTAGTAATCAGGAGAGCTGGGATTTGAACTCAGGTTCTCTGACTTCAAGTTCAGCATTTATGTTTTGGGTATAAGTTATCAGATTTTAAAAATTCTGTCTGTATTAAAGCTGCCAATTTGGTCACAGCTTATTCCAAACTGATCAAGAAGGCATGAGAAAGGGGGGCAACCAGGTGGCGCAGTGGATAGAGCACCGGCCCTGAAGTCAGGAGGACCTGAGTTCAAATGCGGCCTCAGACCAAACATTTACTAGCTGTGTGACCCTGGGCAAGTTCACTTAACCCCAATTGCCTTAAAAAAAAAAGTCACGCGTGAGGGCAGCTAGATGGTGTAGTGGATAGAACTCTGGACTTGTAGTCAGGAGGACCTGAATTCAAATCCAACCTCAGACACTTGACACTTACTAGCTTTGTGACCCTGGGCTAGTCACTTAACCCTGATTGCCTCACCAAAAAGCAAAAACAAAACAAAACAAAACAAAAAGAAGACACAAGTGAAAGAAAGGAGGAGGAGATGCAGGAGGAAGGGAGGAGCTTATTGTCCAAGTTTCTATAAAAACAAAAAATTTAGAGGCTGTGAAAGAAATGAGCACAATTTGATGGTATTGAGACCTGCTACATTTTAATCCGTATTTTTACATAGTTGCTCTAGTCTAGGCTTTACATCTGAAGTTTGGGAAGTTAACAAGTTAGACATAATTAAATCAGTTTTCCTAAATTCTTTTTCCTGGAAAAACAAAGAAAATCCGTCTTCTACTCAGACTCACTGCTCTTTATTCAATTTCTATGAAGAACAAATAGGTTCCTCCTCTGAGAACTCTACTGCCCATTACTGAATCCATCAACTAGCAAGTAAATAACAGCTCACCACTCACATACTGCCAACACACATATTATACTGCTACTTAAAATGGAAACTGATGGATCTATTTCCTTGTAGTTAGTTGAGGAAAGATTTCCTCACCCCATTTTGTGCAACATTATACTAGTCAGCTTTCCTAGATTAGCTGTATGGTTCTAGAAACTGAGCCAGCATCTTATCAATAATAATAACAACTACAGTATGTGCTGAGGAGAAAGGAGAAATTTTCTGTTCAAATTTGCCATGCTCATAAGAAATGCAAAAGACTTATTTGAACCTAAGTTCTCTGACTTCCGAATTCATTGTCCTTTCTACTACCCAAAACAACTAAGCAACTAAATAATTTACCATTAATTTTTTTTACTTAAATCCTAAAATAACTCCTTATTTTTCCCCAATTGTAAGAACAATTTCTCACATCCATATTTTAAAATTTTGAGTTCCAAATTTTCTATCTCCTCCCTCCCCTCTCATTGAGAAGGCAAGCAATTTGATATAGATTATACATATGGAGTCATGAAAAACATAGTTCCATATTAGTCATGATGTGAAAGAAAACACAAAACAAAAAAAGAAGAGAAAAGAAAAGAAAGAAAGAAAAAACCAAGAAAAATAAAAAAATAAGTTTGCTTTGATCTACATTGAGCCTCCAATTATTTACCTCTTAAAACCTCATCATCCATATTCAATTGTTGTGTTTCTTCATAAGCCTTATTTTAATATTATATCACTGTTTTTCCATTTTTAAAAATCAATTCGAGGGTGTAAGAGGGGATGATTGTTACTGAAATAATGATTATTTTCTTGATTTTTTAAAAAGACAAACTCTATTCTCCTTCCCTTGTCCTTTTACCTTCTGTTCAAGTTCAACGTGTATGTTATTAAACTCACCTTAAACTTCCCATCAGAAGAGAAAATGCTAACCCATTTATTATCATAATCTGCAATGATTATATCCCCACAAGGATGAACAGCAACCCCTGTTGGCCGCTGCAGCTGGCCAGGAGACCGTCCGCGGATACCAAAACGACTTTTGAACTGGCCGTCATTGGAAAATATCTGTTTGAAAAGAAAAAGCACGAGAAGTAGCACAAGAATTACTGGAGGGTGACATAAACAAGACCATCTGTTACAATTAATACATTCAGTCACACAGAACAGGAACACATTTCTATCCCTTGAGAAACATCCTGTTAACTCATTATCTAAGCTAGTTTCTTACACACAGACTATATTGCCTAAGTGTTTTAGATCCTTAAGTAATAAACATTGGAATTATATCCATTCTCTCAAAATAATAATTTCAATTTTTACGTTCATTTTCTATTACGAGGATGCTAGGTGACCCAGTGGATAGAGCATTAGACATGGAGTCAGAAAGTTGAGTTCATATGTGACCCTGGGTAAGTCACTTAACTTGTAAAATGGAGATAATAATAGCATCTAACTCTCAGGTTGGTTGTGAGGATCAAGAGAGATAATATTTGTAAAGCACTCTGCAAATCTTAAAAGGATTATACAAATGCTATTATTAATAATTTTCAAATCATACCTGCACACATTGGTTGTTGCTGTCTGCAATTAATATCTTTCCCGTTGTAGATGCAGCTACCCCCTGAAGATTTGTAAACTCTCCTTTATTTCTTCCTTTGGTACCTGAAAACAATCACAGAATAGTAAATATTAAGAACTAGATGATTAGGTCTCTCAATTTCAACACGAAGAATTCCATAGGTAGTCTTTGTTTACTTCATAATGATTTTGACTTCTTGCCAGCTTTCAATAATCAAGAATGAAATAGAATAAAATCTAAGCCATGTATAGCAACACTTTTCTGAAAGAAATAAACTCCTTTTTCTGTAGGTAGGTGGTTTAGCATCAAGTTGGAATTGGGATTCTTGATCTAGAATTGGAAAGAACTTCAAAAACCATCTAGTCCAAACCTCACGTGCTACAAATGACAAAAGTGTAGCCTGGTGACATTGACTTGACCCTGGTCACACAGACTGTCAGCATCACAAGTATCCCTCCTCTTAGTAACAGCTTCTTCTCTGGATTCTACTACTGGAATACTCTTCCATTCCAGTCCTGGTAATTTGTTCTCTAATTTGCTTTCCTGCCTTGGTGGTTTTCCTTGTTTTGTGTTAGCATTTTCTTGTTATTCTTTCACTCTTTAGACAATAGAAGCGAGGTAGTGCAGGGAATAGAGTAGTGGGTGTGGAGTCAGGAAGATCTGAGTTCAAATCTAGCCTCAGACACTTACTAGCTGTGTTTACTACCCAGGCAAGTCACTTAACATCTGTCTGCCTCAGTTTCCTCAACTACAAAATGAGGATAATAGCACTTCCCAATGTTGTTGTAAAGGTCAAATTATATAATAATTGTAAAAAATACTTAATAAATGTTTGTTTTTCTCCTTCCTTCTTTCTGTCAACATGGATAGAACTTGTGATTACCATGATTTCGACAGGATTTAGTCCCACTAATGTTTCAGCAAATAAAACCCAATCATAAACGTTTTTGTACACGCATGTGTTATGTATATATGTGTACATGAAAACACAGAGGATCACTCCTGGTATGGGAACTCCCTCCACCCATGAAGATTGCAATTCATCTATGGCTTAGAATATAAGTCCTATAGAGTTGCCTGAAATATATGGAATTTAAATCATTTGCTTTGCCTCACACAGCTGATAAATGTCAGAGGTAGGTTTGAATCAAGATTTTCTTTACCACACAGTCCACTCTCTATCCTCTATACCATGCCATCTCTATGGGGAAAAAGACATTTTGGACGCTTGTAAGAAAATCTATTGACATCCACAAATGTTGGTTCTACCTGAATGCAGGAGAACAACACTTTCTCTTCTTTCCTGCCTTTTAGGAGTTAGATTTTTCTCTGTGGTGTAGGTTTCGCTTTACAAGGAGCTGAACTCACAATGGCTTACTTTTTTCATTTGCTGATGAGGTACAGAAACCAAGAGCTATTTTATAAGAAAAAAAAATCTTATTTCCCATCTGAGGAACACAAAGCAATCAGCCAATATCCATTTCTTGCTCTTCACTGACCTCCTACTGGTAGATAAGTGGCAAGTATTTTTCCCCATTTAGCAAAGACAGAAGCTGGGCTATCAGAAGCATTTACAAGAAAAATAGGACACCTGACTCAAACTCCATTTATCAAAATGTAAGGCCACAGAAAGTAAGAGATGAAAGCCCCAGGTACGTTTTTTTGAAGTGGATTTATTTATGAGCATTACTTCTAAAGGACCGACATAGTAGTCATCCAAGTAGTGCATTTTCTTCCTACATATATAAACACTATTCTGACAAGGTCCATCCCAGGTTAATAAGCAAAGCATAAGGGAATTTATTCAACCAAAGGATTCCTGTAAAGAGTACCAGGAAAAAAAATGAGCAAGGAGAAAAAAATGTCAAGGAGCCCAAAGGGGTAGTAGATGTTTGCTGCATTTCAGAGATATTTAGAATCCTTTTCAATTGAATTGGGAGGCAGTATGGTGTTGTTTAGTTGTTTCAGTCATGTCTGACCCTTTTTGACCTCATTTAGAGTTTTCTAGGCAAAGATACTGGAGTGGTTTGCCATTTCCTTCTTCAGTTCATTTGACAGATGAGGGAACTGAGGCAAAGAGGATTAAGTGACTTGTCCAGGGTCATATGGCTAGCTAAGTGTCTGAGGCCAGATTTGAACAGAGGTCTTCCTGACTCCAGGCCCAACACTTTATCCAATGTGCCACCAGCATAGTGTAGTGGACAGTAAGCTGGGCTGAGAGTCAGGAAAACATGGGTTCAAGCCCCATATCTGACTTGTGCTTAATAAATTGTGATGATTGGTTGATTGACTGAATGATAGAGCTAGAACAAAGCTAGGGCACTGGATTTGGAGTCAGTGAGAATATGGCTCAAATCCAGCATCAGTTAATTTAACCACTTGTGTGACTCTAGGTGAGTCACCTTGCCTCTCCAGTGCCTTCAGAAACTAAGAAACTGCTGACCTACATTGGTAAAGGGAGTTTTCTCACCTGGTTGTTCTTTATAGCAATGAAGTCACAGGTACAATGATCCCCTTCAATTAAACAACATAAATATTTAGTGGGGGGATGGCAGGATATTTGGCATACTGGATAGAGTACCGGCCCTGGAGTCAGGAAGACCTGAATTCAAATCCAGTCTCAAAATCTTACTAGCTGTGTGACCCTGATTGCCTCCCCCCCCCCAATATTCATGGGGGGAAGAAGAAACACCACCCACAAAGGATGGAGACAAGTCTAGGCTTCAGGGCCAAAAGGCAGGCAACAATTTTCACAATTCAAAGGAAGAAAATCACATTGGGACTTCATGACTTCATTGACTGTCAACAAGTATAATGACTGTTTTGATGCTTTCCTTAGGTAAGGGAAAAATGACATGGATCTTTATAAATGAGCACAGAAAGGTATGTCAGTCCTGGCAATGTTCACGTAACTGGTAAGAGTCCTAAGAAGAGCCAGGTTGTAATAAAACAGGTATTTAGGTGAGGTGGCTGGAAGTGGAATTCATTTCCACTTCATCCCAACAACAAAAATAGGGCCTAATACGGACTACTGTCAGAATTGATACTCAGGGAACAGCAAGACAGTTCATATTGGGGATATTGTTTTGTCTGTTAAAAAAAAAAAGAAGATGGAAGAAGGGTGGACATGGCCTCTAAGGTCACCTCCCAGCTATAAATGCACGATCTATGATCCAAGTGTCAAGGTTGGTATTTGGCCAGTGTGGAGAAACCAGCCAGAGGGCATATGATTTGTGGCAGGGTTCCTTTTTCTAGGGAGACTAGCACAACCAATTCAGGTTTTAGCCCCAGAGGAATGGGGCACAAGTCAGAGCACCAATAGAGGAAAGCAACAGAGCAGGCATTTTTAATCTAAGGGATTTGTAGGTAGATTTCAGGAGACTGTGAAGCTGAATGGGGAAAAATTACATGCTTATTTTTATTAATCTCAGGCTGAAATTGATCTTTTCCTTCAGTTACAAATGCAGACAACAATCATTATTCTGAGGCGTCCGTAGATTTCACCAGAGTGCCAAAAGGGGTTCACGACAAAAGAGTTCAGAATATCTGCAATGGAGGTACCGCGTCATTAGGAACAGATTAAAAGGTCAGGAACCAACAGCAGATGATTGTGTGACCCGACCTTTGAATCCATCTGCTCCTAATTTCCTCTGTATGAGAGGCTGGATTGGTCCCAGGGTCAGAGTAGGGGTGGGTCTACAGGTGGGATGGGACAACAGAGAGCCATGCTGTGTAGCAACACAACAAACCCTAGACCCTGGTAACCAATAACCTGTTAACCCCTGTCATTAAGGGAGAAGGGACCAGGGTCCAAGTTCACAGAAATACAGATTGTAGTCAATGGAAGAAATCGACATATAATGTTTCAAAACAAGCAGGAGAGACAGAAGATATTTCTTTGGGATTCCCATACTAAGTATCTACATCTCATATATAGCCATTCTTGTGTAAATTCTCATGAAAGGCATTGTTGTACAGTAGAAAGAATACTGGGTTTGAAATCAGAGGACCTGAATTCAAATGTGGGCTTTGCCAATTATGACCTGAATAACCTTGGGCAAGCCACCTCTCTGACCCTCAGTTTCTTTCTTCATCTCCAAAATGAGTAAGATCATAGTTAGAGCTTAAAGGGACCTTGGAGGTCACTGAATTCACTGCTCTTATTTTACAGACATGAAGGCAGAGAGGGGAAGTGTTACTTGTCTAGATTCACACAGGTGGTTAAGCACCTGAGGCTGGATTGATATTCTTTCTGATTACAAGCCTAGTGCCTTGGCTCACTCCAGCTCTATCAATCAATCAACCATTTGTCAGGCATTTATTAAGCATCTATTATGTGCCAACCACTCAGTATATCAAGTACTGAAAAGCATTCCAAAGTGACATGTCCAAGTTCTGGTCTCTGCTTTTCAAGTGTAGGGGCTAGGAGAGGGAGTACCAAACTTCTGATAGGTGATAATAGATATAGACTGTCAAGTAATGAGAATAGGGGCATGTTATTGTGCTGACTGTCACACAGGGGAGCCATTGTTCAGACATGGGGTACCAGAGTGGAAGGCATGGTAGCAATGCTTGTTCAATGGAAGTCAGCCAGTGTGGCATCACAGGCAAAAGGGCCAAAGGCATGCCAGTCCTTGGGGCCCAGGATAGTCTAGTCCCACTGGCGTTAGCTTCAACCCTCAAAAGCATTGACTAAAAGTAGGGATGCAAAAATTAATAGAACTATAAAAGAGATTGTGCCTTCCCTGTATCCACTAGATATCAATGCTCTCGTCTCCTTGTATTTACTTTTCTCTATAAGTGTGGTAGCCTCTCCTCGCTTCCCAAACCCCAAAAAGTAGAATGTATGTTCCTTGAGGTAAGAGACTATTTCATTTTCTACTTTCTATCTCCAGCTCTTAGCATATAGTAGGAGCTTAATAAACACTTGTTGAATATTTTTTAAAGACTATGGTGGCATATCTAGGACTTTTGAGACAAAATTTAATTTGACAAAAGCATTCAAAAGAAAATAGGAAAGCCAAAGAGACTTGGGTAAAAGAAAGGATCATTAGATTATAAACCTAGAGATGGAAGGGACCTA